GAGATTTTTTGTTTAATTTAGTTCAGCTTCCCTAGTCATAGTCAAATTGGAATGCAGTAAGCTCTTTTACTATTACTGAAAATGACCAATTTTCTTTTACAATTAATTTTTTAATTAATTAACAATTAATTTTTCTCCTATGTTCAAGATACTTTTTTGGTTACCTTTTCTTCAATGACTCTGGACGTTAATCATTGGCCTCACAGACTCATTACTTGGCTTTCTTTGCCACTTCCTATTGTCATTCTTTTATTGTCTACCCTAGCATTTATTACTTCATGGTTTTTCTTTAAGTTCATTTTAAATTCATCTATTATTCTCTAGCTACTAGTCCACACTCTTATTGTATTTCCTTTAGATTTGCTGCAAATTATGGTTATCTATTGCTGTATACTACTTTGAAAATTAGGCTTAAAGCAATGATTTGTTATTTCTTTTATAAGTTGACTGGCAGCTCTTTTGCTCCATGTGGTATCACCTGGGGTCACATAAGTATAATTAGTTGGTGGCTGTGCTGGTCCTGGAACTTCAAAAAAAGACCTCACCCACATGTCTGTGCCTCAGCTGGGGTGGGTTGTGTGCCTGGAGAACCCTTGTTCTCCTCCACGTGGATGGATCCCTTCCTCCGACAGTCTAGACTGGCTTCCTTCAAGCGCGACAAATGGTTTCCACGAGAGCAAAAGTAGATGCTGTTATGGTTCTTAAAGCCTCAGCTTAGAACTGGCGGAGTGTCCGTCATTTCTGCCATACCCTCTTGGTCAAAATAAGTTGAAAGTCCAAGCCAAAGCTGAGAAGAAGGGAAGCGGATTCCCTTCTTGAAGGGAAGAATGGCACACATGTCTAGAGAAAAGAGGAATTGTTGGTGGCCATATTTAAGGACAAACTACCACAGTTTGGCTACCTATATAGGAGCACATTCCTTTGTTGGGTACAATTTACTGACTTGTTTGGCTTCTTCCCAGAATTCTTCTCCTAGCAATAGCCAAGTTCAATTGATTTCCACAGTAGACTCAGGCAAAGCATAAGCACTGGGTTTGGTATCAACCTAAGACAGAGGAAATTTTACTTGGACCTTTTCTAATTATGTGCCATAATAATTATATGTCTGGGTTTCCCCCCCCCCACTTCTAAGCCAAACCTACCTGTGCCCTATTTCTATTATATCTTTTTACGTTTTTTGAACCTCACTGCTTTCTGGGACTGCAACATCTTGTCTTTCTTTACTCTCTGTGTGTAATTTGTTCTTAGTTCCACTTCCCTTTACATATTTAGTCCATTGTCCTCTTCTCAGTACTCTCTTCCCAGTATTCTGGAAAATGGTTTTCTTCCAATGGGAGGGTTCTTATTCCAAGATCTGCCCTTACTGGTTCTTAAGGAATTAATCCCTTTGTGTTCAAAATAAGTTGATAGGTCCAAATCTATTTATATATAATTTTAAACAGAGTAAAACTTATTAATGCAGCCCTGGAGAACAGTAGGATGCACAGGCTACAAGGAGCCTTCATGTATAGAAGGTTTTAATGAATTTGATAGTTGCCATTATTTCCATTGAAAATAAAAATTTTTCCTTGAATAGAATCAAAGTAGGCCAGATTTTCTCAACAATCTGGCAGTGATATTATGCTACTGGCATATGTATTTTAATTTGTCACAATATTTCACAAGAGTAGATTAGGTAAGTTCCAAATTTTTAAAGCAAATTTTATTTTATTCAAATAATCTTAAAAAATGATATATTACCCTTTAAATTGCTTGAGAACACTGTATACCTCACCTAACTAATGTCTAAGTGGCTAAACAGTTGAAAGACCAAATTATGTATTATTAGACAAAATGTAAACATTCACCTCTAAACAATATCAATAAGTAGGGAAACACATGTTTCTGGCTTGTGGCCAGAGCAGTGTTTTGGGGATGGGGGCGAGTGGGAAATCAATGAGCAGGTCAAATTTGTCTTTTTGTAATTCACAATTTTTTTGCTAATCAGAAAAGTTTAAAATGAAATAAATGAGTGTTTTTGCCTGTATCACATTGAAGTGTAAAACAAGCATAAATATCTTTTTTTTTTTTTTAATAGACAAGGTCTTGACATGTTGCCCAGGCTGGAGGAGCACAGTGGCTATTCATAGGCACGAGCATGGGGCGCACTACAGACCCAGACTCCTGGCCTCGAGGGATCTTCCACCTCAGGTTCCTCAGTAGCTGGGACCATAGGTGTCCATCATTGTGCTGGCCATAAATATGTCTTATTGGGAAGTCAGGACCTCTTTGAAAGGGCTTTGAACATTATCAGGTTTTTATCATAGAAAAGTCTCTAGCGGCAATGATAAAGGCTCAGAGCTGTCTTAGCAGCAGGTAACTCTTAAATAGTTGGCTACATTTCAGAAATCTTTGCTAGAGTCATGTGTTAATATATTTGTTAACAATGCCTCTATCTCATAAAGGCTAGGTAGAAATTGTCCTTTTAAGATTTATCATGCTTTTTCAATTAAAAAAAACAAACTTGAATAGCCAAAATGTCACTGACATCTGAAATAAAAAATTTTTGCATTCTCTGCTCTGTCTGATTTGCCAATTGTTCTCTGAACCTTGGCAGACTTCACCAGTTAAGTTGATGACTCACTTGTGTTTCTGATTCCAGTTCTATTAATTCAAATAGATGAAAAGTTTATTGTGAAGATTCAAGAAGTATTTTCAGTAGACTTATGTGAATCATTAGTAGTTATTGCTGTGTAATTTTATTAAAAGTAGAATTGAAAAAAAACTAAGCTAAGAATTTTGTGGAATAGTCATAAATATGTGAGTGGTAGTTTTTCTAAAATGTGCTCTTTATTAATTTTATTTTTGACAATTCTCTCACCATATCCATAGCACAACATTCTTTCCCTAAGTTAAAAAACTACTTCCAAAAGCTATTTAAGGAATATTGTGGGAGAACAATGTTTAACAGTCTATCATTATTCAGCATAGAAGCTCAAGTAGTTAAAAAAAAAATGGAAGTTTTAAAACATTGATAATTTTGTTAATGGCAAGTCATAAAGTCTCCAAAATTTGTTTTAAAATTTATATTTTGTATAAGTTGACACAAATTGTGTATTTATCTGTGAAGTCAAAGTCTTTAGTTTTAAAGTAAATATTGTACATTTTTTAGTTTTTTTGTGTCATTAGCTTCTTTTTTTCCTTTCCTTCTTTCATTTCAAGAACACTTTTTATACCACATTTCTCTTCCATGTTGTCTAATTCCAGCCACACCTATTATTATCCCCTTCATACCATTCATGCCTGGTCCTTTTGTTTACTCTGACCCTCTGACTCTCCTGTGTGTCTATGTCTATGTTCGTAGCAGCTTTTGCAATAATAAGCAGACCTTCCACTGATTCAGCAAAGATCTATTGAGCACCTATTATGTGCCAATTAATGTGCTAGATTTTGGAGATAAGATAATGATAGTCTCTTTGAGCTTGTTGAGGTTAGAGGTTGTCTTCTTCATTCTGGTATCCCTCGTGCAGCACATACCTGACTCATAGTAGATCTTCCATAATTATCATTAAAAGTATCCCCCAAAGCCCAGCTGCCCTTTGAGCATCCCATCTGTATTGATATTTCCTCTTAGTTCCAATAATGTTTATCCAAATTTGGGAGGCCATTCTATTTGCCATTCAATAAAATATGGGGGGGGGGAATATCATTCTTAGATTTTCAGATGAAATTCATTGCTATGGCAACAAATTGCCTGCGTATAAGGAACACACACTGTGCAAACATTGCTTCAAGTGCTTTGTTGCTATGTTGAGCCAGGTTGTAATGCAGCATTTGGTTGGAATTTCTGGTTAGGATGTCTGCTGTAGATAAAGCCATCTGTGTACCTGAAATGTGGTGGCACCTGAAATATATATTTTATTCAACCAAAAAGTTGAAGAATACATAACAAAATTAGGTTGTGTATTTAAAAGTATATAGTATAATTATTTGTATGCATATTGCAAATGAAGTGAATAAGATATAAGATATATAAAATCAAGATATCCGTAAGGTTAAATGTATTTAATTTTTATTTCTTATAAAATAATACATAAATGTTTTAAGACTTCAAAAATATTAATATATACTAGAAAAATATTAGAACTATTCCCCAACCTTTCCTCTATGGGCAATCAAGATGAAATTTAACTGAGATGACATGTGCACATTAAATTATTCTGTTATTTACATCCTGACTTTACAAACTTAGCTAATATAAATTCTTATTGGTTAGACTATCTCCTAGAACAGTGAAAACTACAATCATATTTGTACTTGAAATAATCAGTTTGTGTATTGTGTGGCATGGAGTCACATGTCCCTTTAAAATTTCTGAAGTCTCATTCTTTGTTTTGCCCAACTTTCCTGTGAAGGGTGAGGATCCATGCTGACTAATTTTAATAAGCCTTCACTTTTTCTCTAAATAATGTATGATTTAATCTTCATGCTTTATAAAATTTTGCCTTTTTCAAGATCAGACTTGCTCAATGTCATTTCCTTCCTTCCATTTGTTTCTTTTGTGAGGAAATTACCCCTTTTAGGAGCTAAAGAATTGATGAAAGAAAACTCTCAAAGGCAAGTTTGTTTTAGCTTGTTTACCAAAAACGTATAGACTTAAGAGACTGAGACTAAAAGAGGAGGGAAATTTAATGAACTAAAGAACAATGACTTGAAACTTGAAATTAAAAATATATGTGCCTATTAATATATTTCTGACATATTTATCATACTTCTGGCCAAAGTTTGTGATCCATAGAATTTCATGTACATTAAAATTATTGTTTAGTTTTGACATCCATTGAAAATAAATTTTATCAACCTTCTTATTAAAATGTTTTAGAACTGAATTCATAACAAAATAACAGTTCCAGAAATGCCATTAGGTTTTCTAAAAGAACATCAATCTCCTTAGAGTATGAATTCAGCATTTTAATGCATGTGTTTTTCATAGATGCTGTTTTTTTTCTATTGGCAGCATGATGTAGTGAAAAGAATATGAAATTCTGGAATTAAAAGAACTTAGAATGAGTACTAGACCCTGCACTACCAGTCGTTTGACCTTGAGTAAGTCACTTACTCTGAGGGTTGGTTTATTTTTGCCTGTCAAATGAAAAATAAGTGATACCAACCTTTCAGGTTTGTGTACAGATCATATAAATAATAAACATGAAAATGCTTTATAAAATTGTAAAGCATCATGCAAAAGATAGTTGTTTTATTTCAGATTAACTCAAATATTGTTCTAAATCGGTATGTCTCCAAACAAAACAAATGACTCCTAATGCCCAGAGTAGCCTTGGCTCTATCTAGAAAAATTTTCTTTGGAGAAAACTTATAATTAGCAAACTTTCAATGGGGTTAGAACTTTTTTAAAAAAGAATCATTATATATTTGAAATCATTCAATTAGGAAAAACATAAGCCTCCATCTTAGTCTGTTTTGTATCGCTTTAATAAAATATCTGAGACTGGGTAATTTATAAAGAAACAAGATTCATTTAGCTCATAGTTCTATAAGCTGGAAAGTTCTAGGGCATGGCCCTGGCTTCTAGTGAGTGCTTTTGTGCTGTGTTATAACATAGTGGAGAAGGTCAAAGAGGAAGGTCAAAGACACATGTGAAGAGACAAAACCTGAGGGACAACACGCTCTCATGAGCACTAATCCATTCCCCCCAGAATGATCCAGTCTTGCCAGAGCAAGAACTCACTCATCATATTGACAGTGACACCAAGCCATTTAACATGGGACCTGCCCCCATGACTCAAATACCTCCCAGTGGGCCCCACCTCCCAACACTGCCACATTGGGCACCAATTTCAACATGAGTTTTGGTGGGGACAAACTCCAACCATAGCAGTCTCCTTTAAGAGCATCCCCTTGAAGTTGAATCATTTGAACCTCACCTCAAGTTTGTTTCATCACCAGCTTCCAAAACCAGTGTTGTCCTCCTGCAGAGAAACCACTTTAAACTATGGATTGTATAAATGAGAAAAATGTCCAAGTGAGAGCACATCCAAGCAAGGACAACTTACTCATTAGACATAGTGGGTACTGTGCCAACAGCCCAGTATACTTTTAAATGTTCATGAAAATATTTTAATTTCTTTTGAAATTGGAAGGAAAAAAGTGAACTTTTAGGTTAAAGTAAATGTTTTAATATATTCATCTTTATGCCAGTGAGTCATAAAATATAACTTTTAATATTTGCTCTAGCCCTGGGTAACCCAGGAGGAATCCTTGGAGAAGCCCAGTTACCTGCAGTTCAAGGCACTGTTCCAACATTAGTGGTGTTGCCAGGAAACACAGATGTGGGATGATTAGTTCTATCTTGGGAAATAGGGAAGGCTTTGCTGAACTGATATTTAAATCAGTCCTTTAAAGATAAGTATGTTTTCTACAGGTGGAGATATTAGAAAGGGCATTTCTGGGGGAAAAAAGAACATGGACTAAGGAATGGAGCTGTGGAGAGACAAAGCATTGGAACTTGACAATAGTCCATAATCAATGATGGACTCTTGACTATAAAGTCATGGGAGAAAATTCCTTATATTGCCAAGTCTTACTAACTTTTCTCCATTATCTTTCACTGACATACTTTAGAACTAAGCCTAAAAAGTACATGAACATCTGCACAAATACCTAATGAATAAGCAGTGGGTTGTTCAAAGAACTAATGAGATTAGATAGAATTGATAAGGATGTTGTGTCAAGAATAAGGCAAAGTATCTATTGTATCAGTTATTCTCGGTGAGCAACAGAAACTGACTCTAGCTAATTCACACTGAAAAGAAAGAAAAGGAGAAAAAAACAAAGGAAGCTAGTCCTGCTAACACATATGATATTCTTTCGAAGGTCAGAAGTATATTTTTTCTTTTCCTCATAGCTGAACCAGATAATCTCTACCTAGAGGGTTTGGTTTCACCTGAAACACCACTGGACAAATTCCATCATTTGTCAAGATCTCTAAGTCAGTACTCAGATTATCCAGCACCAAATGTGCAAGCTGATCCACTCTCCATATCCTTAGTAACCCTTGTGTCTTGCTGTAAGATTAATACAGATTATGTGGTTAAATTCAAGAAACTACTTTATCCTGTTCCTCAAAACAAGCCCTCACATTATAGTCTGGTTCTATGGTGCTCTTTCCTCTTATCAGTTTTTCCCTGCTCCTCATCAATCATTCTTTGCTCCTCACCTCCAAGGACCTGTGATCAGGGCCCTACAAAGTGCATTGGACTGGTTATGTACACTGATATCGGTTCTGATGTATTGAGGCATCCTTCTGGTGGCCCATAGCATCTGCTCTGACTAGTGGTGCCTAGATGTACCATTGGTTAGATATTTCTCAGATCATTCCTGCCTATAATTAACATTTAATTTAATGTCTGATAGCATTTTTGGAATCTCTGTATGAATACAGTAAATGAAGATTCTTTGTATGGTAAAACATTACCTCTCTTCTTCCTCTAAGGATGAGGTTAGAATTGTTTATCCACCAGAAAATATTATTTTCAGAATTGGATTTGTTTTCTATCATTTAAAGGGCTAGCCATAATGGCTCTAATCAGAACTGTTGACTGATTAGACTTTCAGTATATGCATGTCAACCAAATATGCTCAGAGGCCAGATATTAGCAACAAAAGATAGAATTGGCCATGGACTGTGCCTGCAAGGAACTTGCTATGGAGAGAGAATTTCTGTTCCTGGTTCTGCCATTTATTACTTTATTCAGAACCATTCATAGTTTTATATTTTTTGATTTAAAATTATAGTAGATTACTTATTGACTTTTTGAAATATAGGTGATTAATTAGATTTAGAAATATATTTGAGAGTATCACAATACTCTTGAAAGGTAATTGGATAGACCCTCAGAAAAATCCATTCAAATAATCTCTCAAATACTCATCCATCCACTCACCCATCTGCTATCTTGTTGGATTCATCCATCTGCCAGGAAATGTGCTTGCAAATAGAAAAAGATTCCCAAGAAATTTATAGACTAGTGCAGATATTAACACACAAACAGTTTTAGTGCCACTGCGGGGATAGGTTCACAAGTAGATGAACACATACAAATATAGGAGTATAGTGAAAAATGATCTGAGACTCTGGAGGATTATAGATCTGGATTTGAATTTTGGCTCTGCTCTTACCAAAGCTATGGCTTTGAATGAGTTATTTAATATCTCTGTGTCACAGCCTCCTCATCTATTATATGTGTCTAATGTCACTTGCCTGATGCATTATAGATGCCCATTTTGTTAGCTACCTTCTATTAATATTTCCTCTGCTTCTCTTTATCTCCAGATTTTGTTTCCGTATCTCAAAAAGGAAAGAGTTTGATTTCCAAGTTCTTTAAGAATCTGAAGATCTGTGATTTAGAAATGATTCCCCCAAGCTTGAAAGAAGTACATTCATTACTTATGATCAAATATGTTAATACAATGTATTCTATAAATACAATAAAACTCAATTAATAATACTGATTAGCCTCTAGCACACAGAGCTCTTTCTCACCATCAGGACTTGGCACCTCTTGTTCCTCTTGTTTGCAGGTCTCTTTTCCCTATGTTTACGTGGCTAACTTTTGTCGTCCTCCAGGTCTCAGTCACTTCCCCAAAGATAATTTCCATGGATGATCTCCAGACGGCCAATCTGTGAATTCTCTTTGGATTCCACACTCATCTTGTCAAAATAGCCATAACATTATAGCAATCTCCCACCTATATTCAAATGCTAAAATTTGAGATCGATCTGTAATCTTCTACTGTATGTCCCTTAACAAAGATAGTTATAATGATTCCTCCCATCATAGACTCTTCCAGGGCTGGCTTATGGTTTACTGCAGAGAAAGAGAATCTATTTGTATTTTAACATCTCAGTGCAAAATGCAGATACAAATTATTAAAGACTTACATGTATAAATCATTTACTATATGCCAGGAACTATGCCAGGAACTTTATATGCATTATTTCATTTATTCATATTATATCAACTTTAAAAAAATTGGTTTGTGAGTAAAATAGTTTATAAATAATGAAACAGTGACTTAAGGAGTTTAAATGAATTGTTTACGATTACACAAATTCCTCTGTTTACTAAATGTGAAGACACCATACATGTCAAAATAAAGCAAGGTCAAAAATCCCTACTCAAAACTCAAAACAGCAACCAAAACATTATTGGCTTAACAATAGCTTTTTCAGGAGAGAAAGAAACATGACCTTCTATATACACATTAATTCTAAGATTGATCCTGATGTCAGATGCATTAGAATTGTGGAGTAGAAGAAGCAAATTTGAACTTAGAACCATATGACTTCAAAACCAATATTTGTAAAATATTGTTCTATATTTTGCAGGTCCAGAAAATCAGCCCTGTCCTACATGATACTTGTGAAAGGCTCATAAGGTAAATAAAATTGTTTTTGAGATTTGTGAAAATCTGAAAATAAACCAAGGGGGAATAGAAGTGTAAAAATAAAACAAAAAAACTAACCCCAAACAGCCCAAAGCTATTAAATTCAAACTTGCCAGTAACATTAGATTTGTAAACTTTAAAAATTATACAGAAAATATAGAATATTTATTAACATATTAGTCACTTTATATATTTATTTTACTTAATCTTCATAGTAATTTTGTAAGGTAAATGTATTATTATAATCCATATTTAACAAATGAGGAACTGAGGTATAGAACCTGACCTACGTCATATAATAATACTAATAAAAGGTTGATTTTCATTAGACCTAGGTAGACTAGTTATAGAGTCCACAAATTGTGGAATTGGTACAATTGGTGAAATTCTACAATTCCCCAGATCCCAGGGATACAGTAATGTTTTCTGAATAATTGAATAAAATTAATCAAGAGAAATTATTCACTGTTGGGGCAGGTTTTTTAATATGGGAGAATCTGGTTTGTTGTGGAAATAATGAGATAATTGCAAACCCCCTATTTTCTACCAGATCTTAATTTTGCCAGCTTCAGTTTTGACAGTCACAGTAGTTTTAGGAACAGAGCCCAACAAAGGGCTAAAATTAACTGCTTTGTAATCTGATTACTATCTCCATGGTCCCTAGACTAAAATCTTCTTGTAGTCAGGGGCTGTGTTTTGTTCTAAGTTGTATCAGTGTCTAGCATAGTCACAGGACTCAATAAATACTTGCTGAATGAATGACATATGTAAGAAATTAAGCACAAGCAAATGTACACTTAACAAAAATACACATCATGAAGAATATGGTCTTTTCATCAGGCCAAAAGCAGCCTCTGCAGGACCTTGGAAAAAGTACTCCTCCTGGGTGGATAAATTAGGAAAAGGCACCCACTGGGCAGGTATAATCTCTCTGACTTGGCTTAGCCCACATCAGAGACCATAGAGTCCAGCTAGGCATATAGAACTTAGACTTCCAACCTCACTTGCTCCTTTCATCAGGCGTGTTTAAGCAGTACACGAAATATACAACTGTACATGGTGATCTGGTTTACCTGATCCTCCTTAGATTCTTTTTTTCTTTTCGAAGAGGGAGGGCAAGTGTCCTCTTGTCTTTCTTAATTAAGGCAGTACCAGTTCTGCCTAGCTTTAAAAGATGTAAAATGATTACATTCTATTGATTTATACCTTATTCAACATCCGTGTCAGTTTTTAGTTTTCAAGGAGAGTGCATTAGATAGATTAGCTCCTTTCCTCCTTATACTGTAATCTATAAATAATTTTTAGAGGATCTTTTTGAATTTTTGAAACCAGAAAAATTGAGCCTTGAACCTGTACGTTTTAGTTTTTAGGACATTCTGTGAATTTTCTACTGATCTTCTTGTGCTATGGTATTTTGTGTTAGGTGAACCACTAGAAAAAAAATTTAGCTAAACTCAGAGTCTAAGACAACGTGAATTCTCTTTCTTTTTTACGTATTTGCAGGAATACATACACATGAACACATGCACATACACATGCATGCACATACAAACACTCATACACATAGACAGGTATACACCCAAACATACACACAAACACACATATGCATACACATATACATGCACACTCTGCTTTTTCTGTGCTAAGGGGGGATTTGGAGGCAACTTTAATCATAGCAAGAGATGGAGGAATTGTGTTGAAATTAGTGGCTCTCCAAATAGTTTTGTGTTTTTTTAGGGTATCCTTAGATCAAATAGTTAATTAATTGCAAATGATCACCACAATAATAGCTTCCCAAAGTAGTTTATTAAAGCTTAAATCTTAAAACTCCATTACATATCACTTAGACACACACATGCTCCAAAAATTTAGGAATTAAACCAGTATACCTTTCTGAAGCAAACAAAAGCCCAATTAAAATCATTTCTGCTTTTATTATATCGCTGATTCAGCATGCCTTTTAGGAGTGATATTTGTATTTATTTTTAATAAGTACTACAAAACCATTTTCAAGAAATTTCAGTCATTTTGGGGAGAAGAGAATATTTCAGTTCAGTTCAGAAGTCCTCAGATTAGAAGTTGGCTTCTTGTCCTCAAATGTGTTTAAAAATGTGATCTCTGTGATGGATCTCAGTATCTGCTGATGCCTTTAATCCTGAAGTTTCTCACTTATTAAACTGAAGCAACAAAATGCAAAGGATTCTGATGATGAAGCAAAGAACCTGTCCCTTTGCTGGCTCTGAGGATGATTGAGTGTTGTGTAGGCGAGGTCTGTAGATAGAAGCTGGCTGTGCTCTCTCGACTGGTAAATATGGGCAGAGGCAAAGCCATCAGGAGAGCCCTTGAGAGTGTTAATGAAAACCATAGCAAAATGTTTGGAAGAAAAGCTAATCCTAGTGCCAGGATTGCAAATGCCTACCAATATTGGTTATCTCCTGCTTTATTAGACACTTTAATTTGTAGCACCTTTAAAATGACGTGGTTTCTGGATGTCAAAGCACTTTCTTTTTTTGTTCATGTTGGCTTTGCTGTTAAGCAGGTGTAAACACTGGATTGGCCTCCAGGTGCGCTAGCGGGAGGATTGGAGCACAGAGGATTTGTGTCATTTGGAGAACAGTAGTGAGTGGTAATTAAAGAGGGATGGCTTCAGAGATGTGACTTTGAATCCCAGCTTTGTATTTTACTAAATGAGCTTGGGTAAGTTGTTTAATCTCCCAAAGGCTTTGTTTTCTTCATTTGCAATAGCCTCTACCTTAAGTGGTTGTTCTAAGGATAAAATTATATGTGTCCAGTGCTTGGTAAATTTCTATTGTTGAGATGTGGTTCTGGATAATGTTTTTTGTCTGAAATTCCTTTCTCATAGGTTTATTTATTTCCTAGGAGTAGCTGGAATGAATAACACTTTCAGACATGAATTTAGGCGAAACAGAATATATTGCCAGGGGTAGCTACCAAATAAGCCTTAATATACCCTAAATTGTTTCCCATGAACTTGACTAGACATATACCATAAATAATGATAATGATGCTGATAGAAATAAGAATATTAATTATTTCTATTTGTTCAATGTAAACTTAATTTGCTAGGTGCTTTAAATATATACTTTTGAATACTTAGAATAATGGCACATATTAAGTACCATTATTGATATTTTATAGATAAAGCAGAGGCAAAGAGATTAAATAACATCTTCAAGGCCACACAACTAGTAAACAGAACGGGGATTGAAAACCATGTTTGTTTTACTCCAGACCCTTTGTTTTTTCTACTACACCCTGCTGTATGCTCAGATGGGCTAGGAAATTTGTCCTAGGAATAAGTGTAGTGAACATCAACAGGTTGTTTTGTCTCCCTAGTGAATACCAAATATTTTGCTGCTAATTTTACAACCTCTGAGGGAATCCTACAGACTCTTCTTTGCTGGAATCCCTTTAGTTGATTAAATTACTTCCATTGACGTGGATTTCAATTCAATCTAATAGCAACAGGGCACTGTCTTGACAAAGGATGTGCTGTTGTTAGGGATTTTTCTGAGAGGGGCTACTTTCATAACTTTTTTCAGTTAAGTGAATTTGGAGAATAGAATTATTAACATCTGTCCAGTCCATGTAGAGAAAAAGTTCTATTCTAGGGACTGATTTTACTTCTAGTGGATCTTGTCATGAGATTTTAGAAAGTGATTTTGAAAAAAGGATCAATCATAGTATTAAGAGAACAGATCACAGCTGCAGGAGGACAGATCAAAGATGAATAAGACATAAACAATTAGGAGGAAGAGATAGGGCTACAAGCTAATAATAAAGTTAATGGTACCAGGAAAAACAAATGTGTAGGATATAGTAGGGGCAAGAAGGAAGGAAATGGTCGGATCCACTTATGGGAATTCAGGAAAGTCTTTGAAGAGTTGCAAACCCCTGACCTGACTATTGAACAGTGAGTAATATGTTTCCAAATAACGGAGGAGAGGAATGGAGTGTGCAGTGGAATTAGAACTCATATAGCAAAGGAAAATGTCAGACAACTTGGAGATAGATCAATAGAAGTTACTCAAGAGGGACACAAAACAGAAAATAACCAAAATAGTAGGCCTATTGTGTGGGCTTTTCCAACAACCAATTCTCCAAGTCTCCCAAACCAACCAGGTATAACAATTCAATTCTGGCACTATCTAGGTAGAATTAACAACAGATCCCATAAGTTAAAGGGCTCAGTCCAATAAGACTGCCCCCATTTCAGTCATTACTACAAATTGGGTCCCTAGGCTATCCACACTTCTTCTTGGCCAACTATAAATTCTAGGGTTTCCACGACCTTCTCCTTGGGTTTCATAATTTGTTAGAATGACTCACAGAACCCAGGAAAGCACTTTACTTACTATTTCTGATTTCTTACAAAGGATACAACACAGGACCATCCAAATGGAAAGATGCACAGGACAATGTGGGGTGGGGTGGGAGTGGGGGTGGCTCCAAACCACTCTCCCAGCACATTGATGTGTTCACCAACCAGAAGCTCTCTGAACTCTGTTGTTTAGGGATTTTTACCCAAGTTCCGTTATGCAGGTGTGATTGACTAAATCATTGGCCATTGGTGATTAAAGTCACTCTCCAGCCTGTCTCCCCTCCCTGGAGGTGGAGGAGGGCATTAGAGGGGTTGAAATTTTCAGCTCTCTAATTAAGTGGTTGGTTTTTCTGGTGACCAGCCCCTACCCTGAAGCTATCTAGGCCACCCTCTTTTCCTTGGGCCATCTCATTAGCACTTATTGTTCAGAAAATTCCAAGAGTTTTAGGACTTCTGTACCAGAAACCAGGAACAAAGACCAAACATATATTTTTTATCATACCACATCTCTACCCAACCATATCCATGATTACACGAAATTTTAATGAATGAAACCTGTACGTTTTAATATGGCTGTCACTGCCACATGTGGCTATTTGAATTTAAATTAATTAAATTTAAATGTAATTTAAAATGAGTTCTTCAGTTG